CCACCCTGGTTGCAGTTGCCAGCATGCGATAGAATGTTCAAGTTGGGAGCCAGCAATACAAACACCCTTCCTCTGGCGACCTGAGACCCCATTTCCTTCCAGCCATCTCCCAGTGCTTTGGTCCAAGACAAGAAAGAAACTCTTATCCAAAAAGACAAAGCCTGGACATCTAAGGCTTGAGATACTTAAGTGTATGTGGTGAAGGCTTCTAAAATAAAGCCTCAGTAAAGAAGAAGAGCTACCTTTTCAGAAGGCCATGGGGTCATGGGCCAACTGGTACCTGCTCCCAAGAGCATGGCGAGTTTGCTAAGGATGGTCAGTCCCAGCGGCCAGCTCACACATGCCACATTCTTCCATGTAGGATGGGCCCGCTCTGAATAGCCACTGTTTGTTGAGCCCCATGAGAGGAAAGCTAAACATATGCAGTTTCTTCTCGAGGGACTCTGGTTAAGGAGACTGATTCACACAGAGCCACAGTAATGGGGATGACATTGTCAGACAGGAAAACAAGGAAGGTTCCTTTCTTATTGCTGCTGTCCATAGCAATAAGAAATAAATAAACACAACCTGGAAACAAGTCTCACTTGAGATGAGGGTGTCAGGATGGCTGTGTTCTACTGAAGGCTGGGAAGAATCTGATCCACACCTTTCCTCTGGCTAACAGCTACCACATTCCTTGGCTTCTCTCACCATGTTCAAAGTCAGCATCACACCCTTATCTCCTATCTCTTTCTTTTGCTGGGAGAAAACTCCTGTGGTAAGAAGGGCTCTTTAGATAACCCAAGGGCCTTCCATTGAATCCTTGATCTAATGCTGTCTATGGAGTCTCCTTTGCTGTTTAGGATAGCATATCCAAATGGCCTGGGGTTAGGAGGGGACATATCTGGGACCTTTGATATGCCTCCCGTGGCTGGAGAACTGCAAGTTCTTCCCCGTGGGAATGATTACACCGGGCTTTGCTAGATTTCTATACAGAAACCCTTGGTATGAGTGGGAGGTACAGAAAGAAGTTCACTCTCGCACAAAGCCTGAAAGCTTGCTTGCTTGCTTATTTATTTATTTATTTATTTATTTATTCATTCATTCATTCATTCATTCATTCATTCATTTATTTATTTTGGGTCTGGTAGCCTCAGTCAGGTGTCTCATGGGCAGAGGGTGGAAGCTTTGGTGGTGGGTATATCTAGATGTAAGAGGAACATGGAAAATGCTTGCTCAGAAGACCCTCCAGTCGATGCCAGCCAGGTGGTGGTGGCACATGCCTTTAATGCCAGCACTTGGTAGGCAGAGGCAGGTCATTCTATGAGTTCGAGGCCAGCTTGGTCTACAGAATGAATTCCAGGACAGTCAGGGCTACACAGAGAAATCTTGTTTCAAATATCACAAAGCCAAAGAAGAAAAAGGAGAATAAGGAAGAGGAAAAGAAAAAGGAGGAGGAGAAGAAGGAAGACGACGACAAAGACCTTCCATTCACCTGTTTTCTCAGTGTCATTTACTGGCCCCTGTCTCTAGGGTGGAGGAAGTAGAGCAGACACAAGCGTGCTCTCCTGGAGAGCAATGGCAGGCGGACTCCCCCTTGCCCAGCAGAACTTCTGTGCACACAACACTTGTGTTTGCCTTACCAGTGGAGAAACTAAGTCAGTGGAGAGCTGCAGTCTCTGGCTCCCGCTGAGTAGGGAGCAGCCTGGAGCTGCTGTCAACAACTTAGAAACCTTCCTTCTCTCCCTCCCTTCTTTCTTCTTTACCTTCTCTCCACCCACTTTTCTCTTTATATTCATATTTTTCTCTTCATTCACACTAAAAGCCAAGGCCTTCACAAATAATATTCAACTTTCAGGTTGCTCCTTTCAGGCTTGAAGGGCTAGAACCTCTAGTTTGACATGGTTGTGACCATGAGCATGTGAGTCCCCCTGCTCAGAAGACCTTTGTATCAGCTGGTCTGGTCTATGCCAGGGGAAACAGGGCTGGTTGGTGGTAGCTGGGAGACTGGAGACCATCCTCCACTCTGGACCTCATGTTCTTTTCAGCCTTTGGCGGGGGAGAGGGCTGTGGGGTGAGACAGGCTCTCTCTGTGTTGTCCTGGCTGTCTTGGAACTTGCTCTGTAGACAAGGCTAGCCTTAAACCCAGAGACCCACCTGCCTCTGCCTTGTGGGGTCAAAAGTGTGCACCACCACCACCCGGCTCTTTTCAGCCTTAAGGAGGGCTAATAATATCTACCTCCTGGGTGGCTGTAAGAGTTAGGACAACTGAAATCACAGTGAAGGGTGTGCTGAATGTCACTAAAGGCACACTGGCTGCACAGCCTCTGAAATACAGAACTCTCCCATGGGCTGAATTTAGAAACAGCAGGGTCAATGCTGACTAATAAAACCCAGGCATCACTGGCAACATGGCCAGGCAGGAATGGGGCTGAGGGCTGGGCGGAGGCTGCTCATTGTTTTCTCCCCTCAGGTGTTAGCCCTCCCGCTCCAGACCAGCAGCAACCAGACTCAATTAATGTTTGTTTCTTTATGATGTTGACGGATCATCCTGTAACATTCCAGGGCTTAATGAGGGGGTGCAAGCTGTTGGGAAGTGAGTCCTGGAATCTCCCTGCCTGCGGCACACCCTGGAAGGAATGGTGATTTTTAAAGGCTGGGAAGCCCAGAGAAACTTCTCTCAGGACACCCTGAGTCTGTTCCAACATCATCAGAGGTTCAGGCCCCTATCTGCCTTGGTTCTAGGAAGGCAGTGGGAGATTGGGGAGGGGGTGGATGGAGGACAGAGTACAGAAGGGACCCAGGGCAAGGAGGACCTTGTTCTGCCCAGAAGACAGAAAAACTTCCAGTGCTAGAAACTTAGAGAAGAGAAATACAGACTTAATAGCTCCGATTGCCTCCCTTTCCAAGGACTGCACCTGGATGGGAGGAATTAAAACATCATGAGGCTCATCATCACAGGTAGTGGGGAGGGTCATCAGTGGACTTCTAATTCCAGCAGGTGTATGAAACAGAACAGTTGAGGGAGTGGCAGGTGAGTAGCGAGCCACAGCCAGTGTGGGTGGAGATCGGTCATCTTCCTAACAGAACGTCATTGAAGGCTGAATGCTGCTGAGGCCAGGTAGGAAGAGCAGGTAGGTGTGAGATGTGGGGATGAAAGGGAGTGATTTGAAAGCTAGTGTGTAACAGCAGCTTCTGCTTCCGTCCTAGGAAAAACAAACAAGCTATTTAGGGAGATGACAAAGCCTTGGACAGACAAAACTCTTCCGAAACAAAAAACAAAGTCCAAACTCCTAGACACAGAAGAAGCTGCAAGCATGAACTCTCAACACTATGAGCACCTGAACAAGACCAGAACAGTGACGAAACCAGTTAACACGCCAACACAGGGGACATTCCACAAGATCCTGCCCCTACGTAAAAAGCTACAGGTAGTCAGTGGCTGGTGAGATGGTGGGGGTGGGATCCATTTCCTCTAGGTTGTCCAATCAGATGGGAACATTTCCATGTCCATATGAGCAACACTAAATAAACTCAGTACCTTGTAAACACACACACACACACACACACACACACACACACACATACACACACACACAGATGTCATGAGTTTGGGAGGGACTCAAGGAGGCACAGGAGGAGTGATGCGGATGAATGTCTCAAAAAAAAAAAAATTAACAAAACCAGCTTGCTATCCCTAGAAACCTTGCCCTCAAAACTTTTTTATACGTGCATAAAGTCAGTTATCTTTCTTACTCCAGTTTTAAAATGTGGGGTGATAATCAAAGATTTCAGAGAAATAAGAAACACAACAAAAACACCTCAGAAGGAGCATGTATGTACATCAAGACATTATATAAAGTAAAAGGACCTTTAAAAGAAACTATTAATCTCTAAGCTTTCAGAGCTTAGGAAAACTTCAAAATGTAGGCATAAAAATTTACAAAATCATCTACCATTTCAAAATCCTGAAGGAGAAAAACATACAAGAATCTTGACAGACGTGGCAGAAAAATCTGCTAAAATTCAGCATCTACTCATGAGTTTTGAAAGTACTCAGCAAACCAGAGCTTGCAGTGATCCATTTATGGAGGAGACAGCCAGCCAGGAGGTTAAGATGGAGTCAGCTCTACTCCCTGTCAAGATGATGGGCATGTGTCATCCAATGCAGACAAGGTTTTAAAATGTAAAAATAATTTAAATGTTGGGTATAAGGTTTTAATAGAAAGCAGCAATTGTTGGGGTTATTGCCAGATATATGATAGCCATGTCTAGGGGCTAGGGTCATAGGTCAGTGATACAGAGCTTGTCTAGCGTGTTTGAGGCTCTGAGCTCTGACAGCAAATTTGAAGAAAAGGTATGACAACACCAACAACAAGCAACAAACCCTAGACAAGACAGAAACAATAAAAGCCACAATTAAAAGACAATATTTACAACACATGTATCTTACAGAAGATTAGTGTATGTATGTGAAAAAAAAATTCCTGAAAGAAAAAGACAAAATGTACAGTGATCGATGCACATGTGCAGATAGTTTCCAGAAAAAAAAAAAAATCTCAGTGTTAAAAAAAAAAAAAAACACTTTAAAACAAACGAATTTCACCACTCGTCAGGAACCAAGATAAAACAACATGAGAAACTATTTTAGGGTCATGGAAATGACTCAGGCATTAAGGGCCTATCCCAGTGATCCCTGGCACCCTCATAAAGGTGGAAGGAGAGAATTGACTCCACAAACTGTCCTCAGACCTCCTCATGCACACTGTGCCATGTGCATGTACATACACTCACACACACACACACACACACACACACACACACACACACTCGTGTGCATGCGCAAGAGCAGCGATAATACATATTTAAAAAGAAAATTTTTTATATCAAATTCACTAAAATATAAAAAAATCCAACATTAACATAAGCTGTAGCGTATGATGACCACTAGAAAAAAGAGAGGGATAGAGGAGAGAAAAGGAGAGAGAGAGAGAGAGAGAGAGAGAGAGAGAGAGAGAGAATGAAGGAACAGGTGAGTTGGTATACATGCCTTTAATCCCCATCCTGGGGAAACAGGCGGACCTCTCAAAGTTGGAGGATAGCCTGATCTATATAGTGAGTTGCAGGACAGCCAGAACAATGCAGGGAGACCCTGTCTCAAAGCAAAAAACAAGCCAACCAAACAAACAGAAAGTGGTAAATTGTAATATATTCACTCAATAGAGTATTATATAAACATCAGGTGTCCTAGAGCCAAATACTCATACTGGTAAATCTCAATGTATTTTTTGTTCAGGAAAAGCCAAGGACTACCGCATTCAGGTGAGCGTTGCTAAGGTAAAAATAGAAAATGTGCTGTTGCTTATACGCATATAAGGAGCAAAACACATTTACTGCGTAGTTTTATTGCTTGATAAAGAGGAAAAGGGATAAGGTGTTTCCAATACTCTGTTGTTTCTGACACTGTTTAAAAATTAAATCGAATAGAGCAAAGCACGAACATTTCATGAAGCTGGTGAGGTATCTGAAGCATCCTCTACACTTTTCTAAATGTTTCTGAGTGTCCTGGAGTTTCAGAGCAACATCACGGCTAGTGGGACCCCAGGATGTAATGCCATAAAGGTGGGCATTTTTGGTCTGTTTGTTTGTTTTCTTTTTTACTCATGTCGCTGACTCTCTACTTACTAGAGCACTTGGCAATCAATTTGTCTAATGACGAAACCCGTGAAGAGACAGTGAGAAGCATCAGAACACAGTGGGTTCCAGAATAGCTGATGAAAACAGCTGCCATTTTGCCACAAGGACCGGCAGGGATGTCCTCATTTGTTCCCTGAAGCTCTGGTAGGGACAACGGTAACTATCATCGTAGTTGAGCAAAACAGGCTTTGTGCTAGGAAGCCTGCCTCAGAAAAGAGTTGGTTAGAACTCTGTCTGAATTTCACAAAAAGAAAACAACAACAGCAACAAAAGCAACCAAACAAAAACACCTGGATTTTGAGCTACAGGTGACTCCAAATTTTTGAAATAGACAAAACAAAAACTGTCCAACGAGTGCAAGAGGCTAACTAAACAGATACTCTGAAATCACGTTCAGGATCAGACTGAGGGCAGTGTGCAGGACCCAGCTCTTCCTCCTCACGGCGTGGGAAGGATCCTCAGCTGTGGCCCGAGAGCAAGCAGGACCAAGGCCGCCTGGAGACAGATAGAGCTGGTCTGGGTACAACCTCCAGTTCAAGAAAGCTTGTTCCTTTATACACGGAGGGGGTTGAAATGTCTTGAAGTTCTTTTCTAGAAATCATGATGCCAGCTGAGTGCGGTGACCCAAGCCTATAATCCCAAGAGCCTGGGAGGATAAGACAGGAGAATCTCAAGTTCAAGACCTGCCTGGGCTGCATCCTGAGACAGTGTCGCAAAAATATGAGGGGTGTGTGTGTGCTGGGGGTGAGGATGTAGCCACAGGCTCTTCAGTGATGGCTATCATCCACTGGGCAGTTTCTGTATGCAGGGCACTGGGTGAAGTCTGTGTGTGTTTCACTGCCTCTGATTCTCACAGCAACCCTAGGAGGCAGATACTGGTTTGTCCTCTTTCAAGGATGAGGAAACCCAGGCCTTCAGAATGTGTGTGCAGAGTCCCCAGGGGCTAGTTGATTGGGACACCAAGACTGCACCCTCACCTGTCAGCTCCCAGCACATATGTTTAACCACTGCCTCTCACAAGCACAGACAGCCAATTAATGCAACAAGGGTTTAATTGCTTTCAATTGGAAGGATAAATGAGAATGTGAAACAAGCACAGTCCACTGGAATCCAAGCTATCATTACGTTCATGAGCAGCTGTCACATCGTCACAGCTCCATAAATGCTTGTGAAATGAGGTGGCATCTAGCTCTAGGAAATAAGAACCAAAATGCCCTATTTTGCCTGTGCAAAGCAGTGGAAACTCCCTGGAGGCCAATGGACACACTGAGCAGCTCCCCATGCTTCCCAGCACATGGCAATGAGTTTCCGGAACCCCCTCAGCCAGCCTCTGGTTCCTGGGGAGCCTCTGTTTCAAAGCAAGCCCCTATGTGATGAGCTGAGTATAACATATAGGAGCTCCCATACCCGGCTCCTGGGACAACAGCCATCCTAGTCAGGTCAGGAGTGGGTGCCGGAAAGGGGCTGCTGTGACCGGGGTGGGGATGGGATCTCCTGTGTGTCCCAGCTCAGCCTATCACAGAGGAGGCTCGCCCTGAAATTCATCTCTGGATCGCACCCTCCCAAAACAGCCGGCAGAGCGGACTCAAAAAGAGAACATAAAAGAACAGGGACACGAAATTGGCCTTTCAAGTAGAAAAGGACAAGAACACTGCAGATTTCTCCTGGGAAGAGGCATGACCTCTGGGGTCTAGGGTTCGTTTTATGATAGTGTTCCTTCAGCCAATTTACCCAACCCTTGCTGGGTGCAGGAGAAGCCCTGCCCAGCCGGCAGGAGTGTCCTCAAACTCAGACACAGAGAAAGCTCCTCTCTCCACTAGGCACCCAGCACGCTGCACGGTAGGGACTGGATGAGCCAAAGACAAGCCAAGTGTCCTTCCCTTTCTCCCCAGAAGCTAACCACAGAGGAGGAAACCCACCCACTCAGGCCAGGCTAGCAAGCACTAGCGATTTATGAAAGGGACTTCTGAGGGACACTGAGAGGATGAACTGGGAGAACAAGGAAGGGGAGAAAAGGCGAGGGAAATGGAAGAAGGGAGCCGCATCCTAACTGGATTCTCATTGCGGGAGGGCCCCACCGTTCACAGTGCTCAAGTCCCATTTTAATTAGTTACACGCTTTTCCCATTGCTCCAACAACAGCTTCTCTCTGATTAATGTTCGAAACAGCTGGGCGATTTTAATCATGGCATACACGATGATGCCGGCCACGACCGCCTGAGCTACTAAAAGCAGAACGTAAAGACCCCAGTAGAAGCTGTGATCGCGACTTTCACCCCTGGCCAGTAGCTGGACCCACGCCGGGGACTGCAAGTTGTCAGGCAGCTGGGAAGGGACCGGGACATCCAGAGCGTTCTCGGTTGGAGGATCGAGAGGCAGACCGCGAGGGTGCGGGCACCACGGGTCACCCTGCAGCAGCTCCCAGAACGACAGGCCGGCGCGTGGCCCCGGGCCACGGCACTGCGGGGGCTCGTCCGGGCCCAGGAGATCCTGGTGATGCCGCAACCACTGGAGAAAGGGCCACAGGCCACAGTCGCAGAGCCAGGGGTTGTGGCCCAGCGCGACCAGAGACAGCTGGGGCAGGGCCGCGAACACGTCCCCCGGCAGCGTCTCCAGCTGGTTG